GTTTCTATATCTTTGCATACATGAGGCCAAAGCTGGCTGCTAAAATTTCAAAGGAACTCCGTAGGTTTCATGTTGTCGAAATTCTAGGGTCCAAGGAACCTCAGTTATGGAATGAGATTTCCAAGTTCTATGAGATTGGTACTATGACCTGTAATGTGCAGCTTTTACTATTTCATTATTTGGTTTTGTTTCTAAATCTTTGGAGACATGAGGGTGCCAAAGCTAGAGGCTGAAATTGCAAAGGAACTCCGTAGGTTTCATGCGGTTAAAATTCCAGGGTCCAAGGAACCTCAGTTATGGAATGAGATATTCAAGTTCTATGAGAGTGGTACTATGTGGACATCTATATTCAATATATTCCCTATGTTTGGCCCGGCTTTTAGAAGTGCTTTTCGGGTTCAAAAGCTGAAGCAGGGCCAAACACCTGTAAAAGCTCGGCTTTTGAAAAGCCGAAAAGCGCTTTTGTATAACATAAAAGCAGAAGCTCCGATTTAGAGCTTCTGCGAAAAGCTGTTTTGAAAATACAAGATTATCCTTACCATATTTTAATTTTATTTCAGAAAATATAATTTTCCTTCATTTATATCATTTTAAAAATAAAATAAATTATAAAATCGTATTATTTAATATAAAAGAAATCTAACAAGATCCATTTTGACTACTTTTTATTGTTTAGAATTTTTATTTTTATTTTATATTATAAGTCCTTTATAGTCATTTTACACAATCTCTCACATTAAAAAGCACTTTTAATAGTTTTACATCCAAACAGTCAACAGCTTTTTTTGAAAAGTACTTATCTAAAAGCTCCAGCTAGAAGCTGCTTCTGCAAAAGCTACAGCAGGGCCAAATTAAGCTATTATTGGAAGAAGATAAATTGGCTGCAAATATTTCCCAACTTCATTAGTTTGTTTTTAGTTACACCTTTTTCTTATTTAATTACCATTTTATGTTCCAGTCTCAGGTCTGCAATTTGATGATGCTGAGAAACAAAGAACATATCAGACGATATCCTTTAAAGAACTTCATGGTGAAGTCATTGAAATCAAGGTAATTTCTGTTGCTAGTGTGACTATGGCTTGGGGTTGTAGAGTGTCCTATTTTTCCGGTTGGATGTTATAGGGTTGTATTGTGGTCTATTGATGCCTGAGATCTCAACTATAGTGTTGATTGTAAATTTCATCTTATGGCAGGAGTATTGCCTGTAAGTGTTTGAATATAGTTTAATTGTGTTTGAGGGCTTCACTTTGGTAACCAATGACATGAAGCACCATAGCTAGGAAGGATGCAGAGGCAGACCTCTGCTGCAGTGGGAAAGGCTTTAGAGTTGGGTGACTTTTAAGAAAGGAAATGAAAAGAATTCGTACATTGTCCATGGTATGCACGAATCAGAGTTTAGGTGAATATGTTTTCATTTGTTGTTGGCTGCTATAGTGTCAGATTCTTAGGACTTATTCTAATTTGTTCATTCTTGAAAAGTCTATGGGGTTTGCCTTGAAGTATCTAATTGTATTTATAATACTACTATGTGAAAACTGGATGGTTGAACATGGAGTCAACCAAGAGTCTGCGGGTGTTCTTTGGATCCCTTATTTGTGTACTGAATGTAATTGTCAGTCTACCGAAAACAAAACGGTCCAATGTTTCCGCTTTCTTTCATACCACCAATCCAAATTCTGGGTGGACTTCTCATTTTTAATTTTTTTCTTTCACAATCAAACAAGAATTGACAGGCCGCTTAAATTCTCCAGTGGTTTTTGCTCATAATGACCTACTTACTGGGAAGCTGATGGTTGATGATGATGAAGGTATGTGCCATCAAAGATGGTTTGACTTTTCGTGACTAGTTACTCCCTGATACCAGCAGTGATCTTGAACAAAAATAATCAGCCTTTCTGATCCTTTTTAAATTTTTGTGAATATACAGGTATCCTAGTAAACAAGAACAAAGATCTCATTTCTTCATGCATTACTTACAACCTGATAAGCCTTATGAGGTAATTCTTGGATAAATTTGATATATGAAATCATTGTAATAATTCTTATGAAGCAAGAATCTGAACACTTGTTGAAGCAAAACAAATATCCTCCAAGGATCCTGAAGTGCTTTACATAGAGTCAAACGCGTTCATGCTATCTTAACACATTGTCTGGGCCCTTTGGGCGCTAATCCAAGTGAGCTTCTGATGGATGACAAACTACTTGAATTCTGCAACTCTCTGACCCATAATACTAAGTAGCAGCTGCTCTTGTTTTGTTTCTATCTTTCCCTACAGGCGAAGATGCCGCCCATCAATTTCGATTGCCTAGGTTACTTCTTCCTGTGCTACAACAAGTACAGATCGAAGGAGGAAACAAACTGTTTGTTGGCCCTAGCATACCTCTCAGGATTGCACAAAGCATAGTTTCTTGTTTTGCTTGCCATTTCGCTTTGTACTCTTACTGTCTTACAAAATGCTAGTTCAGGAGGGAAGTATGGTCAGTGTGATTCCACAGTTAGAGTGTTGTTGTCAAATATTAAATTTTGTAGCTTTTCAAAGGAACTTGAAAGGCAAGGTAGTTTCATGATGTTGTGCTCAACATTTGGTTTTGCCTCCCTGTTGTTGCTAAGCTCTCAGACTACGTTGTTGTAATAAATTAAAAATAGTTATGTATTATCCCTTTTCCCAAAAACAAGCAAAATTAAGAAGTTGAACTAGAGTGGACAACCACGCAGAATTTTCCCCATCGCTTGCGAGGAAATCCTTCCATATTGTCGTCTGAATGACCGTTTGTGCAACATCACAAAATAAAATATTAGAAAATGAATGAGTCAAACAACAACAAATAACATCTTGTAGAGCTAAGAGCTCAATAAAAAATGGGTCAGAGATATCCTGACCAGTCGCAATGTGAATAATGAAAGAATGAAATTGAGGAAAACTAGAAAAGGAAATTAAATTAATTATACATTTTTAGCTTACCGTAACGTAAATCTCATTTGACTTCTTTTTAGCTTACCGTAACGCATATCTCACTCCCACTTGTAACGTATCACACACACTGTATAATGTTACTCCTCGACGACAGCCACACGAACCATGGTCGCACAGTCTGACTCATTGAAAGAAATCGAATACTCTCTCTATATATACATATACTTTTTTTTTTGCAAAATATGAAATCACTATGAAGATTTGTTAAGAAACCTCAAATTTAAGGTAACTTATTTATTAAAATGTTGTTTGTAAATTTCCCGTCCTACCGTTCAAACTATTAACAGTTATATTAAAACTCATTTCATATTTATTCAACCATCGCATCGCTACGCGAAACGGTGCCTCATTGTTGCTCTATAAAACCCACAGTCGCTGCCTATTCACAAACCGCGCCACATAATCTATAAGATATATAAAGGCAAAACATGGTTTAGAATTGTCCCATTTCAAATTTTGTGACCTGAGAGTAATTCTAGGAAGGTCGTTTTTGTCATTGCACACAGTTCATCTTTATATATTAAAAATGTTATCATTAGAGTTTGAACCTTGATCACTTAAATGAAGAAAGAGCAATATAACCAACTATTCTACATTGTCTTATTGTTATTTCCTTGATTAAACTCTGGAAATATGTTCGGTGATGATACTTCTATATTTATATTTTATCTTAAGTGATTTAAATTTTATAGAAAGTTATTAGTTCTGAAATCGGAACTCAAGTAACATTGATTCAAACATTAATATTAAATTGTATGTGTAGTTTAGTTTAGACAAATTACATGTTTAGTTTAGACAAATTACAGAAGTGTAACCAATACATGGGCCATTGTGAAGAGTATATTCATTTTATGTCAAATATACATATAAAATAATGATGAAATTGGAAATGAGAGTCTCATTTCAAATTTCGTGATCATAGAGTGATCCTAGGAAGCTCTTTTTTGTCGTTGCACTCAATTTATCTTTATATTATGTGTAGATTGTCACAAAAAATTACTGTACTTGTCCGAAAGGTGTTTGTTTTGGCTACACGTATGTATTTTCTCTAAACATAACTATACATACAATTTAATATTTAATGTAAAATCAATATTAGTTGAGTTCCGATTTCACAATTAATCACTTTCTATAAGATATAATAATTTCAAGTAAAATATCTTTCCTACTTGGTTGAAGAAGCGCTTTCTATAAGATATATTTTATATTTTAAGATTTTTCATTTCAAATTTCGGGAATTGAGAGTGAAAATTGGAAAATTAATTTTGTCATCACAATTATTTATTTACTTCATATAAAAAAGTATCAATATCAAGATTTGATCCATAGTCTCTTCTAACAAAAACAATAATCACAACCAATTATGCTAAACAAATTTGTTTTAATTTCTTAAATTGTAAACATACACTAAGCGAAGATTTGAAAAGCAGAGGAATTTTCCATCACGGTCATCTAGCCTATTAAATATTCCAAAAAGCAAATCTTAATACATGATTTATAATTTTTTAGGGCTAATACCACTACAACACCCGAACTATCAAGAAAATGTCATATGTGTCCTAATTTATTCAATATTTCATTTGTGTTCTGAACTATTTTTCCTTTAGTATTGACCAATGTTGCCCGTTAGTATTTAACCGAAAATCCAGTCAGCATCTGACGTGGAATTTTTTAATCTAAATTTATATTTTTTTCACAAAAAAATAACTAAAGAAAATAACCCCTCACCCACCCACCCATCTCCGCGTCATGACATCTCCTCCCCGAAATTGAATTCCGAGCACGATCACCTCTCCTCCTCATTGCCGCCGACTTCAGTAGAGCTCGCCGTCGGTCACTCCTTCCCCTAGCCGTTCTTTTCCTCTTCCACCAATACAAAAACCAAGAATGGAGATTAATCGCATCTGTCAGACTGTCACTCCTTCCCCCCAGTTCTTTTCCTCTTCCACCAATACCCACAAAATCGACGTTCACCCTCCTCCCACGGTTGCCTTCTCCGAACTCTCCCCAGAAATCCAGCGGCGGTTAGCCTCTTACAGCACCAGCCCAGCTTCCGCTCAACAACGACATCACCACCATCACCGAAAATTTCTTGGTCACCGAATTTGAGAATGCGGTTGCCGGCTCGGATTCTGATCTAAAGGCGGTGGAGGCGTTGTAGCTGTAGAGCTTGCCTGTGAGAGTGGGGAAGGCGAGGAAAAAGGATTGGTGAGACAGTTGGAGTGTGGGAGCAGAAGATGGATTTGAGAGAGGAGCAGGGGATGGCGATAGTGATTGGCGGCAGCAAGGAGTCGAGGGAATTTTGAGTCCTTCCAACGAGGATCCCAGATCCTCCATTGCATTGGCTAGAAGAAGAGAGCGCTTCCGGACACCCACCGTAAACCTAATTCCGCCGCAGATGAAGAATCCGATGGTGGCACAATGGCGGCGATGAGGGGGAGGTAGAGGGTCGCATACAATCACAGTATAGATGAGAAGGAATTAGATTTTGTTTTCTTTTTGTTATTTTTTTATTTTCGTTAAATTAAATTAAACCTAATCTGATGTGTTTGGGGACATGGCATTTATGTGTCCACTGTAAGAGTGTGGTATAAGATCTAGCATAACCTTCTCTCTAAAACTTGAGTTATTGGGACCAACTGGTTTATGACATGGTATCAGAGCTGGTTTGACCAAGTGATCGTGTGTTCGAATCTCCACGACCCCCAATATTAACAGTTGATTAAAGTACAAGGTATGGTGGGCCTGTGCAAACTTCAAACCCATGGGTTGAATAAGAGGCCATCTGTTCGCCAAGTTTCAGGTGCTCTGACTCACACTATCGACTGTGAATGGAAAAAGCATTTTTAATTTAAAATTGGAGAAGTAATTGGGATGTTTCTAGGTTTCTCTCTATTCCAAACGGCGAGAACAAACAAGAAGGTAAGGGGGAGAGTGGTAAAATACAAAGCTCAGAAAGAGAAATGGAAGAACAAATATTAAAAAAAAAATAGAAGACAAAGAGAGAGTTAGAGGACACATTTAAAAGAGTGGAAAATGATGTAGTATGCAATAATTGATATTCTCCTTTGATTAGAGGGAATTGTTAGCGCTCTTCTTTTGAGTCTTTATTTATTTTAAGGGATGACACTATATTTCACAGAATTTTTTCTATTTCAATAAAAAAAATTGTAAATGAATATTATAATTTGGATTTTTTCCTTAAGACGATTATTGTAATTTCTGAAATTTAATGAGTATTTGATAATTTTTAGTGATTTTTTTTTATTGAAGTTTGAATAAAAAATCTTACGTATCGGCGGTTCAACCATAAAACTTCACACCATAGGCTAAATTGGTGGGTGATGTTTATCAATATGAAACGGTTGAACCACAGTTAAATTATGACTTTAGTCTAAAATACTGTACTACCAACTTTTTAGATACAATTTTATAATTTTTTGGTTTAAATAATTCTTTTACACTAGTGAAAACAAAAGTCTTAAGGCACATTTTCAACAATCTATTGCAAAAAATCATAAGTGAGTTAGCGATAACGAGAATATGTGATCTCATTCAACCCAAATGATACTTTGTAACTTATTATCTTTTTAAAATAAATGTATCCTACTCATACCCTCACTCATTCGTCAACTTAATGAGTAACATATATTTAATGTAATATGATTTTCATAGGTTTTTATTTATTGAATTATTTCATGAAAAAATATTTGCTCCTTGAAAATCATTACATTGTTGCTAGAAGTCAACACATTGTCCGACTAACTATTAGCGATATTTTAACATCATGTCCTATATATTTCAAATCAAGCAATTTCAGATTCATTACCAACTGTGTGGTAAAAAAATGCTCTCTATTGTGAAAATTTTTAAGAACATTTTAAACTCTATGAGAGATATTTAAGGTTGATTATGTATGTATTTGAGAAGCAACTCTAATATTCAACTATATGGTTTAATTAAATAAGGGTTAATAGCATTTTGTACCCCTCTATTATTGTAAATTAACAAACGTACCCCTCTATTAATTTTTTGCACAAATATATCCTTTTAATATTAAATTGTAACAAGTATACCCTTTCATCTAATTATATGTTAAGTGGCCGTTAAAAGGGCAGAAAATTACCCAATTTCCCTCCTTTTAATTATTTTATTTATTAAAATCATTAATTGAAAGCAACCCACCGTTGCAGCTACAATTACAATTAGGGCTGCAAATGAGCCAAGCTACTCGCGAGCAACTCGAGGCTCGAATCGAGAAAAACTCGTTCGATACTCGATTCGTTTACTGACGAGCCAAGCTTGAGCCTAGCTATGTTCAGCTCGTGAGCTAGCTCGACTCGGTGGCTTGTTGAGCTCAACTCGTGAGTTGGCTCATTTAGAGCTCATGATATGTCTCAACATTGTGGTTTGAGGGCCAACTTGTGACTTATGGACTAATCGATCTAATTTATACTTTCATGATTCATAGGATTGTTAAATTATATATCTCACATCATGTGAAGTTTAACATGTTGAACATGTAAGAAAATATGCCTTATTTTTAATTCTATAAAGAAATTATGTACAAAATTGTTTCGATACTATGAAATAACATGATTTGAACTAGTTAAAATTTATTAACTAAACAATACGACGCCTAAAAATTATAATATAAGATTAATTAAGGCAAAATACAGCTGTATATCCACAACTATCAGGTTTGTGACAAATATATCCACAATTATCAAAATACACGAAATATCCAAAAATTGGAAGATTGTGTGACAAATCTATCCACTTCCGTCTTAAACTATAGCGGCGTGTCAGACGGTGTTAAATTGACTAACGGAATGCTGAATCGATGCCAGCTCACCTGGCACATAAGCCAAAAAGCAACCAAACTTTACACGTAGATACCAAATAGGCTAGTTGAATAAAGGCAAAATACAACTGTATATCCACAACTATCATGTTTGTGACAAATATATCCACCACTATCAGGTTTGTGACAAATATATCCATTTCCGTCCACTCTGTTAGTTAACTTGATGACTGGACAAACGGTGGATGCTTAGTTGACATGTTTCTGACCCCACCGAATGACGTGGATTAAAAGAGAAAAAAAAATTAAAAACCCTAAAAACCACAGACAACGAGACTAAAAATCCAACCTAGAAACACGCCCGATAACCACTGATCCTCCTCCGATCGACGCCTCCACCCCCAAATAACCCTATCCCAAGCCTAGGTTTTGATTCCAACCACAATCCCCAACCATTGCCTCCCTTTTACTCTGACGGCTTCCATGCAGTCGGTGTCATGGTGATACCAAGTTTGAATCTAACCAAATCGCCAACAGAGAAGACTACAACATCAAGGTCTAACAGGTAACGGTGTAAAGTTTGGTTGCTTTTTGGCTTATGGCAGGTGAGATGACATTGATTCAACATTTCGTTAGTCTATTTAACGTCGTCTGACATGCCGTTATAGTTTCAGATGAAAGTGGATAGATTTGTTACACAACTTCCGATTTTTGGATATTTCGTGTGTTTCAATAGTTGTGGATATATTTGTCACAAACCTGATAGTTGTGGATATACAACTGTATTTTGCCTAATCTTTTTTTCTGTTTTAATCCACGTCATTTAGTGGGGTCAGAAGCACGCCAACTAAGATTCCATCGTCTGTCCGGTCATCAAGTTAACTGACGGAGTTAACGGAGTGGACGGAAATGGATATTTCGTGTATTTCGATAGTTATGGATATATTTGTCACAAACCTGATAGTTGTGGATATACCGTTGTATTTTGCCATTAATTAATGTTGAACGTTTGATTATTTTTTTATTGCTACATCAATCATATGTACCATACACGACATACAAAATGAATGTATTAAATACGATCTAAGAATTTAGTAAACAAGCCTAGCTCGGACTCGACTCGGCTCGTTAATAAATGGCTCGGACTCGAGCTCAGCTCATTTGTTAACGAGTCAAGCTCAAACTGGGGTAAAACTCGGCTCAGCTTGGCTCATTTGCAGCCCTAATTACAATAAGAGAAGCAAAAGCTCTCTTCTTCCTCTTCCCCGAGAGGAGACGAAGAGTCCCCCCGAAGAGCGGCCGCTCCACAGGCAGCGACCACGAGCTTCGTCTTGGAGAAGCCCGTTGAAAACCGCAACCAGTGCTCTCACACCGCCGCCTTCCTGCAGCCGGATTCGGATTTGGTCTTCGAAACGCTTGAAGCAGGACAGCAGCGCCGCCATCAGGGAGTAGTCGTCTCCGCTGACGTGGTGGATCTTGTATATCACAATCCCCGCTGCGTTCCTCGTCGAGTACTTGAAGGATTGAATCTCTCACAGCAGGCGGTTCTCCAGGAACTGCTCCATAGACATTTCCGATAGGTAGCTGTTGAAGCTCTCCTCGTAGAATTCCGGCGGCTTGTTCTCCCGAAAAATGACGGTGGTTTGTTCATTTTTAATTAATTGATTTGGGATATAAATAAATAAAATAATTAAAACTAAAAGTATGAGTAAAGGAGAAGTAATAGGGTGTTTTTCCAAGTCTTTTTAATGCCCACTTAACTGAAAATTAGACAGAAGGGTAAACTCGTTACGTTTTAATATTAGAAAGATATGTTTGTGCAAAATTATAATAGAGGGTACGTTTGTTAATTTACAACAGCAAAAGGGTACAAAATGCTATTAACCCACTAAATAACGAGTGGCAATTAGTTACATTTATTTCTTTTTCATTCTGTAATTACATGTAATGCTTATATTATTTTTTTTTCTTTCCATGGAGGTCAAAACTCTAAACACATTATCAAGGTTGTCAAACTAGGGTCGAACCGGCCAGCCGACCGGGTCTAGCCGGAACCGAACACTAAAAGAGCCAGCGCCAGCCATAATTAGACCTGGCCGGTAGCCGGTCAAAACCGTTCAAAACCGGAATCTGACCGGACTTATCCTGCTACCAACCATGTAAAAGCGGCGTCGTTTTGGTGGAACAAAGGGAAGCTGGGCGGGAATTTAGTGCGGAACAGCATCGACTTGTTCTTCTCGATCCCCTTCTTGTAGAACATGACGGGGCTTTGGAACCAGAAGTAGTTCAGCTTGTCTAGAAAAGGACCCACCACAGACCACCCGTGGGAGCCTGGCAGTGACCGCAGCGGCGGCGGATAGGGAGGAGTGTTGGTCACCGACATTGGAAGTTTTTTAGGGGTGGGAATGGGAAGGTTTGCCGCAGGAGGGTTTTTTGTATTTAGATCTGGGAGGTGGAGGAATTAAGAGCAAGTGGGTTTGGGTTTTTTGTGCTTGGTAATGTGGTATCTCGAGAAAATTTAAAGCCCTATTTC